CTTGTTCATCTCTGATGAGGACCAAGGGCCCGGACGCAGTGGGGCAGGATGCTTCAGATGCCACCTCCATCACAGGGCAGGGTCCGGTTTCACATCCTCGCCCTTTCGCCCACTTCCCTCTCCTATTCCAGGTCCTTCACGTCGGCTCTCGCCCAAGTAGGACCTGCTGAGGGCCCCTGACTGGTTTCACCCTGCTGAGAAATGTATCATCTGGTGTCCCGCCTGCCCCAGTCACCCCTAACCATGCTTCCTGAGCACTAACGGGGTGGGTGTTTAAACCAAGGTCAGGGAAGTTCACAAATTTCTAACCACCCCCTCGCAAAAAAAAGAGAAACAAATAAAAAGAGAAAAATTGTAAAATTCTGTTTGTGTTCATTTTCCCCCAGGAACACGACTCAGACTCTTCATTCAGTTCTCAAAGGAGGGGGTCCCTGATGCAAAACAGGTTAGCACCCCATGGCGGGGCTGGGCCGTGAGCCTACATTTTTTACAGAGTTCCGCAGGTTTTTCTGGTGAGAAGCCTCAGCACCGAACCCACAGTGCCCTACCTCTGAGACAGAGCCCAGGGCAGCGCTCTGGAGCCGCCCCCACCCCGGGACCCCCCTACCCTCTCCCTCGTGTGTTAGAACACGCCCCACAGTTAATCTTTAGAACACAGGCACTGGTGCCTCACTGGTACCAAGTCAGGGACAGGATGGCTCTGGTTCTCCCGGTCGCATGTCGGACAGGGCGCCCCCCGGAGAATTCTGTCACCGCGAGAATTCTTCGTGGTGCTCCTTTCCCCCCTCAGAGTTTCACAGTTTGGCCATCAAATCACATGCTTACCTGGTTTAAAGCGACAGCGGAAGTCACTTTCCAGCCAAGCACAGTGGTACAGGCGCCAGGTCACAGCTGATCTTTTCTCACAATCAGCCTTTCGTTTGTTCAGTAAAACACACAGCCTCCCCTGCCCCCATGGCGACCATCGTCTTTTATAGAACCTGGATTCAGGACGACTTCCCTACACGACCATTCCTCACGCCAGGCTCTCCCCCAAGAACCCGCGTCCTGCCTGGAACAGGTGCTTCCCTGGGCACTTGTTAAGGCCGGTGGTCCCACCCCTCTGGTAAAGGCATGAGCTCAGAGGTCAGACAGGTCTGCCCAACCCAAAGCCACACAGACCATTCCCTCTGCTTATGTGACCCCGGCGCCCAGGGGTGCGGAGGCGTCCTGAACAGACAGGGAGGCTGTGTGTGTGTGTGCCCAGGAGAGAGTGCCAGGCCCTGTAAGCCTTCAACAGTGTGCACGCTCCCACCAGGCTCCCAGGCTACAGGGCCAGGGCCGAGCCAGCCAGCACTGACGTGGGAGTTTGTGTCTCAAAAGAAATCCTGCAAGAATTCCACTGATGAAATGAAAAAGTGAAGAAAGAGACACACGAACACGCGGCAGAAGTCTCCGGACCTCCGCGTTTCTCACACACAGCCCCTTCTGAAGGCGGGCCTCCACTGTTTAGCTCACTGCAGAGGTTACAGTATTTGCACCACCGGGAGATCCAGCTGAAAGATGGTGATGCTTTGAAATTCTGCCCAATGACCCTGAGTTCTTTTCTGAATTTGGAAGGAAAAGGAAATAAGTGCCACAAAGTTCACGGACACGTTGAAGTGACCATTTCATTACGCGTTTGTTAAGGGGAGCTGCAGAGCTGGGCCGATGCTCCACACACGCTTCCAGCCAGAGCGTGATACGGCTGCAACGCCAACGCCTGGGATTTATCAGCAGATTTGACTGGGATTTGACTGCAGCAGAGACACGAGTTAATCACTGTACATGGAAAGTGCATTTAAAGTGCCAACTAGAGCCTAAAATATTAAAAATTCTTAGGATTTAAGTATTTGTAAACAATCACTAGTGTTCAAATACGAACTTCCTTCCAGTCTCAATAAGCTATCGTTCAACCTTAAAGTGCACCAAGTTTCAGAAATTAAACCCCACCCCGCTGTCTGCGTTCCATCCTGAGTCCTCAGGAGAGGTGCTGCATGGGTCCAGGGGTCTTTTTATAAGACAACCCCACTTGAATAGTCATAACATAGAAATGTTACTGTAGCTCATTTCAGTAGAACTCCAAACCTACCTACCAAAGATTTCCTTAGCTTCACTTCTGCACCGCATTTGTTTGTGCCAGTGTCGGGTGGGGTCAATTTCAGTGCTCTCAGGTCTGGGACAGAAGGTCTACTCAGCACCTACTACAATACCAGAGCCTCTCAGGTTACATCTTCACCTATATTCCTGGCAATAACCCACTTTACAGGCCAACGCCCTTGAGGCAAGAGCAGATAAGTAACTTTCCTCCCATCAAAGTCAGAGAGCAATGGGGCCAAAACCTGAGAGCCCCAGGCCACCTCCGGAAAGATTCTTAAACTCTCAAGTGGAACATGTTAGCCACCTGAGGACGTCATCACAGCTTTTGCTCAAAGATGCAAGCCCTGCACACCTTATACCCACCAGAGCCAAACTCCTAGGAAAAGATACGGCCTTGGCTTTTCACAGGAATACTAAGGAAATCATTTGAAGACAGTATAAGAACACATAAAACGTTTCCAAAATTTCGCCACCAGAAAAAGAACTGTCACTTTCGTAATTAGCTGAATATAACAAGATTTTAAAAGTCGACCTAGTTTTAAGTACATATCCAAGACTCATTTGCTAGCATTTCCTGGAAGGCATGGATAAGAGGCATGAGGACGAAGGTCAAGTGGCACTTTTTAAACACTGAAATAACACTGCTCATCAAAATGTTAAACCAGAGCTGACCCCTCTGAATGCACATGGGAGGAGAAAGGAAAGCCCTAAGTACATGGTTTACGACTTTAAGTTCACCACATTAAGTTCGCTCAGAAATGAATTCAAAATCACAACCTCATGCTTTATAGTGTGTCTATCCATCATCACCCCTCCTCCACCAACTCACCCTTTTCACACCATGAACATCAACGACTTCCTTACTAACCAGGGAACGGGGCAGCAGGTGGGGTATTTCAGCAAAATCTTGGATAGCCAGATAGAGAATTACTACTTTATTTTAGAAGAAATAAAATGGTTTTCTAAACATTCATGCTCACCCAAAATGAAAATCTATCAGTTATGTGTGCTGCAAGAAACAAAGTTCTGACACACAGTAATGCAGCACAACTAAATGTTCCACAGAAAAATGCTGAGGGGACCTTGTAAATGAAAACGTTGGTTTTTAAAAGGCAGTAGAGAGAGGTATTTAAGGGTGTAGACTCTGGAGCCAGACTGCCTGGGTTCAAATCCCTGATCCATAACTAACTACTGTGTGATTTAGAGTAAGTTACTTAACCTCTCTGTTCCTCAGCTTCCTCATGAATAGACAAAGGATAATGGAACTAAGAACAAGTCTTGTAGCTTGTTGTGAAAACCACATGAATAAAGTGAATATAATGTGCTTATAGCAGTCCTGGAACAACACTTGTCACGTATTACTGTCATCTTAGATAAGAGCTGTTATTAACAGAAGGACAGGTGAGGCAAACGGGAAAGGTACATTCTAAGGAGATTCAGTCATCTGCGTACTAAATGACAGCACCCTGCCAGGCGCTGCGCTGCGCTGCGCAAGGAGGAAGTGCAGCCGATAAGGTTCCCGTCTTCATCAAGGGGGACGGGAACGAAAAATTTGGAGCACCTACCACAGGCCAGGGACTGCTGGAGACAAGCATTTCATCTGCTGCTCTTATCGGCCCTGCCAGGTAAACGGCACATGTCACAGAGGAAGGAACTGAGGCCAGGAGAGATGGGAAAACACTGCCAAGCGCACAAAGTCAGCAAGGGCCTTCGCTCTGCCACCAGGGCAAGGAGCCACAAGGACGGGAGTCCCACGACACCTCTGCTCTCCAGCTCCAGTGGATGGAGAGGTCCCGCAGCTTGCAGCCAAGCATGTAGCGGGCATCCCAGAAATGTCTGTTGAACTGAACCGAGTGAGATCACGTCTCCAGATGTGCACGGGCAGCCCCAGAAAAGGGACCAGTGCAAAAGCTGCTGGCTGCCGGTCCAGAGCTTGTCCTAGACTGACCCGTCAGTATAAAAACCCCAGGGACAGGAACACAGCTTCCGGGGAGGTGACCCTCACACTCAAGAGGGCCAGGGACATCGTAACACCACCTGGTTGCTTCTCCCAGAAAAACCCGGGAACACTGATTGGTGATTACCCAACAGTCCTGTTCTGGGCTTATAAAGTCTCAAGATTTATTCTGCTGATTTCTGGAATGTAACTGGAAACAGAAGGAAGCTTTTAAAATCAGATTACAAATCTAATTGATCTAACATATGTGTTAGGTAAAGAGCTCTCCACAGCAGGTACAGTCTGCTAAGGTTGACAAAAACAAAACGAAGAGCAGTGGAAGGGGTGGACACGAGCACAACACCTTGCAGGGTCGAGACAAACCCACAGGTGGTCGCCCGGGCAGGGGAGCGGAGGGAAGGCTGCCCCGCGAGCAGGGACACTGACTCTTCACCCTGGACCCTTCCTGACTGGTTGACCGCGGGCGCCGGCTACCTTAGACACAAGGGAAAGTCGGGGGTCCCAGCGCCCCTGCCCATCGTGGCCCCCGACTCATCCCTGCCGCTGAGAGGGGCGCCCGGGCCAGCTCTCCAGCCGACTTCCGGGTGCGGTGTCCGGCAGTGCGGCCCGGGGCCGCAGTTGCCCGGCGACGCGGGGTCCGGGCGGCCGCCCGGTATCCAGGCCCGCCGCCCCCGCCGCCGGCAGCCAACTTTCCTCCCAAGTTTCCTCCGGGCCGGGACGCGGCCGGCGGGCGGGCGGGCGGGCGGCGGGGGGCCGGCCGGGCCGGGGCCGGGGTCGGGGCCTGGCCGGCGCGCGGGGGTCACGGGGCTCCGGCTCCACTCGTCCCGGCCCGGCCTCCCCGCCACCCGCAGCCCAGGCCCGCCCGCCCGATGCCGGGCGCCGTTCCCAGGCAACTCGGGGTCGGGGTCCCGGCCGGGTCACTCACCTGGACCGCGATGCCTCCAGCGCCGACCGAGCTCCGCTGCCCGCCCCGCCCCGCCCCCGCCCCGCAGGCCCGCGACCCACTGACACCAAGGCGGAAGTGCGGCCGGCTGCCCAGACGACTGACAGCCGGCGCCCGCCACTCACTGCGCCCGGCGCCGCCGCGTCGGCCGCCGCCCGCCCAATCAGCGCCCGGCCCGAGGGCCGAGCCGGGAGGCGGGAGTATGCTAATAGCACCGCCTGATCGGCCCCGCCCCCCGCCCCATGGGAGTCCGGCCCACGCGGAGGAGTGACGACTCGGGTAACCAATCAAGGCAGGGGAGGCGGGGATATGCAGATATTGACCCGAAAGGGGCGGGCGGGTGGGAGGAAGGGGCGTGGCTGGATGAGCTGAGTTTACAAACAGCGAGTCGGGTGGCCGGGGCGCGGGTGCGTGGCGCGCTGAGTCCTCTGCGCCTGCCGCTCCCAACCCCCGGGGACGGGCGGAGGCGGGAGTCACCCTCCTAAAGCTGCCTTCCTCAGCTCAAGCATCTTTCAGGGCTTCCCACCGTCCACCCTCCGTGCCATGCCTTTCACCACTCACCAAAACCCGGCGCCAGTGTACCCTCAGGCTGCATCCCTGACCGTTCACTCCCTTGTTTAAAACCTTTGGGGGCTCTTACTGACCCGTAGTGACGCCATGGTTAAGCCCAGAAGCTCTGGAGTCAGACCCGAGCTTGCATCCTTACCAGCTAGCTGTATGGCCGTGGGCAAGTAAACTAACCTCTTTGAGCCTATGAGTACCAAGGTTTTCCTTTGCAAACCAGGTTTCTCCCACCCAATCCCATCTAAATCTTGGGTCTGGTTTGCGGTGGGTGGAGTAACATGGATCAGGCTGGCTGCTGAGAGTCACAGCGATTGGATCAGGGGTGAGCAGGTGACCCTGTCCTGGCCAGTGAAGGTCAGTCCTGGGACTTTTGCTGGGGGTCAGAGAGCTCAGGCCAGAGGGAAAACTGAGGTCACAGACCTCCACAGAGCTGGGCTAGGTGACAGAAAGATGCATCGATAAGTCTGGGGCTACTGATGGGCACCATGTCTCCACTAGGGGAGGGGGGGCACCTGGGAATGAAACCAACCCAGAGGAAAGCAAGAGCAAATACCCCTGGGTCTCCTGGAAGCAGCCGCACCCTCAGCAAGCTCTATCCTAGACTTTTCAGTATGTGAGTGGCCACGTCTTCCTTTCTGCTTAAGCCAGTTGGAGGTGGTACCAAAGCATCGCTGGGACCCTGGAGCCACAAGAGTGCTGATAGACCACCCCTGATCACGTAGCGCTTTTGAGGTTCCTGCCCTTCACCGCGTCTTCCACAAAGCTAGCCCCAGTTGGCCTCTGCACTCCCTCCTCAGAACATTTCCTCATTGCCAGCGGGGGCGCGGGGGGGCGGGGGGGGGCTGGACTGCGGCTGCCTCTGCAGCCCCCGTGCAGATGAAGCTGCCTCCTGTAAACAGCGGGGCAGAAGCACGTGCGGCAGGGCTGCGGCCCAGGCTGCATTTCTGGGCCCAGAAAGCCAGTCATCCCCATACCAGGGTCTGGCCCCAGCTCACTGGTGGGCCCACTGTCAGCGGGAGCCCGGAGACGTGCAGGGACTGAGAAGGAGCTCTCCCAGCCACTGTTGGAGAGAAAAGCCGGGAGGGAGGCGGGGCCAGGCCTCGGAAACAAAGGCATTGCCATGGTTACCTGTGAAAAAACTGACACCGGCTGGAGAGGGAAGGGTGCAGCGAGCAGTCTCCCAAGCCAGGACAAGGACAAGGCCGGTTGCCACGGAGATGCTCCACGGCTTCCCTCGTGCACCTGGCCTGAGTCCAGCGCAGGTCCCTCACTCTGACAAGCCTCTTAAGACTCTGAGCCCCATGCACCAGCCCAGCTCTCGGCCATGAACTCCAGGGGTGAGTGCAGCATCAGAGAGCTCAGGCCAGAGGAGAGGCGGGGGTGAATGAGCCTCCCACCTGCCCACGGATCACTGAGGGCTGAGCACGGCCATCTCTGCCCTGGCCTGAGGGGTAGGAGTGGGCTCTGATCCCAGATGGGTCCCGTGGCTGGGATGTCGGCTTATCCCCTTTAACCAGATGCAATAAACTGGGCTCCAAGGGTCAGCTGTTGCGTTCTCTTTCCTGGTCCCTGTGAATTGGGCAGGAATCGTCCTTCAGTTAGAGGCTGGAAGGAGGGTGCCTTGGGACCAATCAGGAGCATTTTTCATAACCTGCACTAGGTCAGGCGGCCAAGTCCAGCAAAATTCTCCAGGAATGGGATGAAAGGTGGGAGCAGAAAAGCAGACAAAGAGGGTTTGGGACCAGGCAATAATGATGACAATGGTGATGACAGCTGACATTAGCCAGTGCCCCATGATTTACATGCCTCATCCAGTTTCATGTTTACAGCCGCCAATCAAATAAACACTCTGTGTCATCATTCCCACTGTACAGATGAGCAAACTGAGCCTCAGCGGGGGAAGTAACTCACCCAGGACCTGCAATGAGGAAGTGGCCCAGACCCAGTGCGTTCCTGCCACCCAGCAGCCTGGCACAGCCCAGGAGCTTGTCAGAAAGGCAGAGCCCTGCCCATATCTCCCGGACCAGGATCTGCATCTGAAATAGGTGCTCAGGTGTTCCTGGGACCAGTGGAGGGGGATGCGCGGCTCATGGCCACGATATCAGCTGATCCCTGCCCTGTGGCCGGGAGGGGGCGGGTCATCGTAGTGTCCCCCTCCATCCTGAGAACTCGGGCCTGACTTGGCCCCAGAGTCTGCTCAGGACCCCAGGGGTCCATCCGTGTGTGCACTCTCAGAGTTTGAGAAGTGCTGGGCTAGTAGATAACTTTTGGGGTGACTGGTCTCACCAGAACTGCTCCCAGATCAGGCCAACCTGGCAGTCACGTCTGCCTGTGACCTTCCCTCCACCCCAGGCGAGGATGACTGGAGCCTCCCTGTCCCAACTCCTTCTGAATCAGAATCAGGTGACATCATGGCCCACAAGCCCCCTGGGCAGCGGCTGAGCCTGTGGCGCGAGGCCGGGAGTCCTGGGCTCTGGAGGCCCCAGCCGCGTGGGAACACGTACCCTCACTTTGCCCTCAGGAGGCACATCCACGTGCACCTCCCTCCTTCCTTCCATCACATCAGAAGGCACAGCAGAGACTATTTCTCCCCCTTCAGTGGTGAAACTGAGGCTCAGAGAACAGAGGGGCTGGCCCCGGGTCACCCTGCGGAGCGGGCCAGCGGTGTGGTGCCAGCCCTGCCCTCGGCCTACTGGTCTTTCCCCGGCTTCACACCTCCTTCCCCAGCAGGTTTCTGAGGCTGGATGGGTCTCTGTATCTCAGTGTGAGGCCAGAGTTGCAGCAGAGCTGGGCATCCAAGGATGCCGGGTACCCGGTGTTGCTGACCTGGTCTTTGCCCCTGGGGAGGCCCGGCCCGAGGCTCACTCCTCTCCCTGACGCCTCCCGGGTCCATGGAGAGGACATTTCCCTGCTCCCTTCTGTGGAATGCTGGGGAATCTTCTATCTGGATGCAACCTGGGTGGGCAGAGGGTGGCTGGCCACTGAGGTGGGGCCCCGGCCCTCACGTGGCCCAAGCTGAGCCTTCCCCACACAGCTTTCAAGTCTCTTCTGCAACGTGACAACGCTCGGCTTCCCTGCCGTCGGAGAAGAGTATTTTTAGTTTTGAACCCACCACGTGAGAGAGACAAGTTATCAATAGCAGCGGCAAAGGGCTTTTTCTTTTTTTTTCCCCATGGCTTTGGGACCTGAGCAATCTGCACCCATTAAATTCTGCCAAAAGAGAAAAAATGTATTCCTCTTATAAACTTTTTACCCCGCGACTTCCTCACTGCTGCAGCTTTGCAAACCAGCTCTTCCCGGGTGGATCCCACCCAACTCAGCAGCGCTCTGCCCCCAGGCCCCTATAGCCTCTGCAGGAGGCCACTCTGCCCCGCAAAGGGACCGCAGGAGCAAGCTGACCCACGGAAACGGAGAGAAAGAGCAGGGTGGGGGCTGCAGCCCTGGAACAGGCAGGAATGAGGGGCTGCGGGGGGGGGGTGGCTTCCATGCTCAGAGTTGACTGACATGGGCCCCACTTCTAGCTTCAGTAGCAGCCCTAGCATTTATTGAGCACTTACTGTGTGCCCAGCCCTGGGCTGAGTACCTTTAGGTGTATTGTCTCAGGTAAATGCCCTAATCACCCTCTGAAGAGTTTCCCAAATGAGGTACCATGGAATCCCAAGGCCTTTCTGGCTGCTCTTAGGTGTTTCTAGAGGAAAGGGTTCCACAGTCAAACAGGTTTGGGAATGCTGTTTAAACAAAGCCAACAAGTGTCCCCCTTCTCAGGGCCCTTCCCACTCTGGTATATGTGGGATCCTCCAAGACACAGAAGGGCCTGCTGCAGACCCAGGATTTATTGGAACTGGACAACTTTTTCTTTTCCCTATGGAATGTCTTGTATGACTCTGAATTGGCCTCCTACCTTGCCTGGGGGACATTTGGGCCCACTTAGCTTCCTGCTTTTTAGGATTAGTTAGAGCTGCACACATGAAAAAACCCAGAATAACAAAGGCGTCAGCAAAACAGAAATGTCCTTCTTTCTCACATGGCACAAGCCCCGGCTGTCCAGGGTTGGCAGGGTACCCAGCTCCTACCTTATTGTATCACTCTTCTAATACTAGCGTCCATCCTCAGTGTCACCTCACAACCCAAGATGGCTGCTGGTGCTCCAGCCATCACATGCATATTTGACCAGGAAGAAGGAGTAAGGGAAAGAACAAGAGCAGAGGTGCTGAGAGGTGCTGCCCCACCAGGTGAATCATCTCCCTTTGAGAATCTGTCCCTGAAGATATACCAGACACTTCTGCTCACATCTCACTAGCCAAAACTTTATCCCATGCCACTCTCAGTGGAACAGTAGCATTTTAGCTGAGTGCATTTCCAGCCTGAATAAAACAGAGGGCCCAGGGAAGAAGATTATGTGTGGCTAGGCCTGACTGTGGCCCCCAGGCCTCCCCCAGCGTCCTCTGGCAGGCCCAGAGATGCAGACACCCGGTG